GATAGACCCTAGCATTATTTTTCCATATTTTATAAGAGTTTATTCTGTTTTCTTATCACATGATGCAACAAAAGTGCTTTATGGGAAAAAATAGTTCATAAATTTATTTTATTTGCTCCACAACACCTGGCAAAGTGTCAGCCAAAGCAAAATATATATGGTCAAAAATACATTCTGAATCCCTTATTTCGCCAAAGTCTTCTCTCGTTTATCTGATGTGCAATAAATTCATTTTATGAAATTTCATAAGTTCAAATAACCAGAGGAGAGAACATTCTTGATTCAGTTAATTTACTAACTGAAACTCAGTAGTACCAAATGAGAAATAAACTAGGTTGGTAGAATTTGTAAAGAAAATGTGAACCATGGAATAAATTACACATTTGGTTTATAAGCAGTCTGTGAATAAGGTTCTTGTACTTGGTAAGCAGTAAGAAAGCAGTATATTGTTGAAAGGGAATGTATTCAGGGTAGAGTACAAGTTTGAAAATGAAATGAGAATAATTGAATGGCCCTTTTTGTAAGGAAATATTATGTATAACGCTATCAGTCAAGTGAAAGTAGAGGATTACACATATACGTGAATGCACACACACACGCACTGTGAGTATTGGTAACAGAGCAGTCAGGAAAACCACCTTTTCATCCTGCTCATGATTAGGCATTTTCCAATTCAGCACTTGTTTCTTCATTTTCTTTCTTTCTTTCTTCATTTTCATCAAGCTACTGACTTACTCAAAAGTCAGTTTACTGGGGCGCCTGGGTGGCTCAGTGGGTTAAAGCCTCTGCATTCAGCTCAGGTCATGATCCCAGAGTCCTGGGATAGAGCCCCATATCAGGCTCTCTGCTCAGCAGGGAGCCTGCTTCCCCCTCTCTCTCTGTCTGCCTACCTCTCTGCCTAATTGTGATCTCTGTCAAATAAATAAATAAAATCTTAAAAAAAAAGTCAGTTTACCTGTTTCCTGTTTCCCTCCCACTGTTATCTCTCATATTGTTACTCTATTTAGTCTTTTCCGCCAAATTTTTACCTTATTCTCTGCTTTCGAACTAAAACCCCTCATACTTTCTCACTCACGCTCACCCACACACCTCAATGGTTCCCTGCACTTAGTGTTCCAAGTGTGAAACCAACCATCTCAAGAAGGAAGCTCATTGTGGTACCATTCACTCCTCCAGCGAATGGCTTTCAAACTTCTGTTCATAAAACCTACAAGAATTTGGGGGGGGGATATATATGTATATATACACATATACATACATACACACACACACACACTCTGGGCTTTTTATCAATTTATTGTCTCTTTCTTCTCTAGCCTTGTCTACTGTTAAAATGGAGCTGGGACCTTTAAAAAAATTTTTTTTTCTTCTTTGTCAGTTAGCATGATATTAAACTTTGTCAGCAGAGGGCACAGGAGGAAAACTGCCGGAGAGAACAGTGCTCCGCCCCCCACCCCCGCCCCACCACCCCCCACCCCCCCCCCCCCCGCCCCACCACCCCCGGGTTTCAGTCTGCGGACTCAAGGGGCCCCCGCAGTGCGTGTAGCTTCTCCAGCCAAGGGCTTCCGCAGCGCATGTACGTCTGCCCTTCCAGGCGCTCGCTCTGCGGACAGCATCTCCCGCGCCAGGCTGCGGCAGTATGAACGCATCTGCAGCCCCGGCCTCCGCACCGCACACCCACCTCCCCGGTGACAGACTCCGATAGCACAGCAGCCTCTCCCGGGCCAGGTGCTGCCTTCAGTGCCAGGAAGCAGCAGCACCTGGCAGGAAGCAGCTCCACCGGCCACCCCAGGCCGCCACCTCCACCACTCCGGTGCTTTCGTGGCGGAATGCCTGCAGTGAGACACCCCCCTCTAAACGGTTTTCCCCAGCACCGCAGAGGATAGATTTCCAGCAAATTTCAGAAGGTCGATTGCCAGGAAGGTGAACAGTCATGACACCGCAGTATAGCGGGGTACAGCCCCGCCCTCTCCAGTAAGACCCAGATCTCAGCCCCTGGGAGGGGAAGGTGGGGGGGAGGGGCACTCGGGGGTAGCTTTTCCCTGGACTCTACCGCAGCCCTAGGGGTCATGATTGCTTCTCATATTTGCTTCTTCTGTATTATTCAGAATTTCTATTTACTCCCTCCTAGCCAATCCCCTCATTACAACAATCCTCTGTTAAGGGTCGTAATTCTTTAAATTATGCTTAGTTTCCTGTTCAAATTACTGTGTGGTTTCTGTATCCAGATTGTGTGCTGACTGATACATACTCTCCTACATATTTTGAAGTAACGGCTAAAATTTCTTATCAAAATTAAAATAATTGAAAAAAAAATTGAATTTTCTAGTGTCCTGTAAATAGATTACAGGCTTAAAATACTTTTTTTTTTTTTTTTTGGTCAAAAACTTAGAACTATATATTTAGGTCATTTAATGAATGGAGAAGTCCACCATACAAACTCATTTGCAAAAGTAGTCCTCTCTGTCCTATCTATCAACCAAGTGAAACCAAGTCAAAAAGAAAAAGACTTTCATTTTTCAAATTTAAATAAATATGTGGATACATCTCCTCATGACAACAGTCTCACTTGAGGAGACCAGTAGAAAATGGATAGATAGACAACAGACAACAGATGGAAAGATGGATAAGCAGAGAGCAGGCAGACAGACAGAGTCTTACCAGGATGAAACACTATTTCATATTTTTTTACCAGTTCAGTATTTTTCAAGATATATATAGATATATATAGATAGATAGATATCTATATATATCTTGAATATATATCTCATATATATATATGTATGTGTGTATATATGTGTGTGTGTGTATATATATATATATATATCCTTGCTTTCCTGGGTTTCCCCTTCAGAAGTAATGCATTCTTGAACTGTCACTTTGCTTGAAGCCTTAGAGACTTTATCCCAGGACAATAAATCATAGCAAGATTTGGGATGAGTGAAAGGTATGACATCTGTAAAGTATGAGAGGGGATTATGACAAAAGATAGGAAGAAAGAAGTGGCCGACCACAGATTCTCTCAGATACATCAGTGTCAGAGAAGAATACACATAGAAGCTGAGGACTAGGAAATTGGTTCCCTCAAAACTGTCCATGCTCTGGGGCCCCTAAAAAGTCTTGGTGGACACCCAAGGTACAATTTCTCCGGTCTGAAGACAGCAGCCCTACACCAATGAACTTACGCAATCTACAGTAAAGGCTAGAACAATTCCCCCACTAAAACTGACAAGAAACCAAGGAAGGAGAAGCATACATTTTTTAAAATAGAGGGGTTGGGGCACCTGGGTGGCTCGGCTGGTCAAGCAACTGCCTTCGGATCAGGTCATGATCTGGAGTCCCGGGATCAAGTCCCACATCCGGTGCCCTGCTTGCCGGGGAGTCTGCTTCTGCCTCTGACCTCTCCCCTCTCATGCTGTCTCTCTCTCTCTCAAATAAATTAAATAAATCTTTTTTAAAAATAAAAATAATAAAATAATAAAAAATAAAAAATACGGGGGAAAGAGAATAAAAAATTAAACCATATTCCTTAGAAGCTTAGAAAATAAAAGCTTTCCGTATAAGAATGCTAAAGGAAATTGACATAATATCACCTCAAATGTGAAACTCCCTGAATCTCACCAGTACCTGTGTTTAAACAAAGATCTTGCTTTTCAGTATTTGTGACTCGAGATCTCACATGGGTTCAATCCTTCATTTACAGTGGTTCTGTTTCTTATTTAAAACAATAAGTTTTCCTTAGATCCACTACTTTACTGAATCACATGATGGGGAAAGAGATGGAGATTCTTAAACAAAAGGCAAAGGGGATGTGGCCAATTTTTACCATTTGGGATATTAACAAGTTTAACATGGCTCAGCAACTATCTTAAGTGTTATATCAACTATTATGACACAAGCTAAAGGTGTTGAAATATAAGGATGCGTGTTTTCTGAGAGGAAATCGGTGACAATTTGAAGGGCTGGGGTTTTTTTTAACATGAAGAATAAATACATAAGAATTCAGAACAGATTCTCAACCAACACTAATGTGCAATAAGGTTTACGCAAGTTAAGAAAGGTTTTAAACTTCTAAAAAAATTTCAAGGAAACTACTATTTCCTGTTATTTCTGGAAAATCTGTAAATGCTAGTGTTTTAAAAGGGAAAATTTATGGAGAGATATTAAGTATGGTTTACATGCTACACATATAGGATTCTCGTTTGTTCATTTCCCCTTAGAAATTTGTAATTCTGCTTTAAATAAGTGACATTTACTCTCAGTTAAGCTTTCTGTCTTTTCATTCCCCCAAATAAGCATCCTCATGGGAAGTACAGGGCTTCTAGGATTTTTCTACACCTAGATAATTAAATTTTGGTAAAGATTTTCCTTTCTTGAATAAGATCCATAACCTACACTGTCTGAATTGACTGTTTTGGCAAAAAAAAAAATCTCTATACCGCTTGTTTTATAGTAAAGTATTGGCATCTTTAAAATAAAGATAATTTGCTTACATATGTGCAACTATCGGTTATAATACCCACATTACTTTCAGTACAGGTATTGCGCTTTGTTACAGAAATATGAATAATCAACTTGGTGGCTATTATTCAATCGAAGGATGCATGAGAAGAACTTTTACTGTGGCCCAATAAATGAATTTAGGGCTATCACTTGGTAGAAGAAAAATCAACAAATATATAAACATTTCTATGCCCACCAAAATCTCTTTCATAGCTCTTCTAAGCACCATGGTTAATTGCTATGAGCAAGTTAACATTGGAGATTTTAAAGATCCGAATAGTGCAAAGGCAGCCAGTCTACCAACTGGTAATTTATCACGAAAGTCAACAATTACTTTTGTTTTGTAGAGAGAAAATAGAAATAATAGAAATAAGAAAATTTAGTAGCATAAAGATTCTTTTTTTTTAGTAGCATAAAGATTCTAATGTGAATGAGCAATAACTAGTTTGTTGTCATCCATGATATTTCCCATATCCATAGGTTTTTCACACACTTACTTGAACAATGGAGTTCCACAAACAACACATTTATATATTCCAGGATCTTTGTGATGTGTATATTCTCCTTCAAAGGCACTGATAAACAATAAACAGAGCATTAAAAAAATTAAACAAAGTTAGTATTATTTCTTATAGAATGCATTTACTTAAAATATATTTCTCTAATAAATCTTTCAAGGCCTTTTTGTCCTAAAATGAGAACAGACCAAACATATGGAAATATGAACATTACTAATATATTTCAAATCTATATAATAAAATGTGCATATAACTACTCTAAACTAGAGCAGGTTAAAAAAAAAAAGATCAAGCCATCTAGCTATATAATGCTTAGAACAAAATTTTTGTTATTAAAAAAAACCTTATAATTCAGATTCACAGGGAAAAAAAATTACTACACAAGATTTCTGCCTACTCTACAGTGTCCAAGAGTATATACCCAAAAATGCAGAAGGGTCCAAGACTTCAAGTGGAAGGAGTCTTATTTTTTGGTTCGAAAAGGAATATTGCAGCTTTAAGGGAATATTTTTCTAAGTTAACAATCTTAAAGGCTAGGAGGTCATTCAGCTAATACAAATCAGCTGTGCTAGCCCAACAAAAAGTCTATGTGCTCTGCAGCTTGTTTTTATTATCCTTTCACCCTCTTTATGAGGTCCAATTTTTTTATAAACAGAATTTTTAAGAATGACCTAATCTCTAGTTGTTTGTGTGCATTAAATCATTTTGCTAGTCATGTACACAGCGGGACGGGCAGAGGTCCTCCTGGGCTGAGGCTGAAGCCCACCACTGGCTCACTGTGTGGTGAGAGTAGACTCTGTCAGAGCTTCGACGCTGGGTAAATTCCGTAAACAGTATATACTATGACAGGAAGAGAATGTTGCCTATTAACAGAGGCCGTGTGTGTGGCAGAGGGCTCTTTCAGTTCATGAATGAAAACAAGAAGTTACATCATTAATAAATTTGGATCAGAGGTAAGTCACAGTCCTATGCCAGCCTCCATGGTATAAATTAAACAACAAAATGGCTGGACCTTGGCAGGTTACCTTTGAGCTGGAATCAGCTGAGAGAGACTTTATTCACTAAAAACGTCTTGGAAGTGAACAAACTCTTTTTTCAGGACTCAGGGCGAACTTCCAAGGACCAGAGCCATGTGAGGGCAGTTATTGAAAATTTTTGACATTCCAACCACAAATGAGCCAATAAATACTTTCTCCACATGTGCTTCAAAAAGAAATTGGAGTGGGGTAGAAAGGAACTAAATTATGCTACCTTCTTTTTGCAGCCAAAACGTCTATACTTACAATGGCCACCTTCAAAATTTCAGCATCCTGGCACAGTGCCATGTCCCTCATGGTTTTGCTTACTGTGATGTCTTCCCAAAAAATGTACCTAAATCGCTATTACTTCCACACATTTTGTAGTAAACTAAAAACAGGCCCTTAATAAAAGCCTTGTGACTTTACATAAGATAGAGTGTTCATTAAATGGGGGAAAGAATAAATAAAAGTTAGTCTTAACCTAAACAATACCATTTTCAACCTTTTCAAGGATACTAATTTGTAGATTTTTAGCAAATAAGTGTAGAATTCTTTAAATTAAATGGCAAGGAAAATGATTCAGAGCCATGGATGTGGGGGGTGCGGTGGGGGGAGGTGAAGAAAACTAGTTCTTAATGACTTTTTCTTACAGCTCATCTTACCTTTCGGTCCCTTTCTCCTGAGTGACATGGTACTGCAGGGGTGTTAGCCGCTTCCTCAGTTCCTGCTGGGAAAAGACCACCTTACAGTTCTTTTTATCCCTACATGACCCTGGAAAGAGAGAGGATATGGGAGAAGGAGTCTTTTTAGTTCGAATCCTAAATACTTGCTTTGGCTGGGCGCCACCGCCCAGCTTCTGCAGTCACTTGTCAACCACTAGACTGGTCCCTAACGCACCAGACAAAATTATCTGAACTGCAGCTGACTATTTCTCTCAGGTGGAAGAGAATCTTTCTCAAGATTCAGGGGTTCCCACTGGAGCATTAAGGTACCCTAACCAAAGATGCCAACATGGGATGGTAACAACTCACTGAATGTTCCCAAAGGTGGTAGCATATCCTTTGTCTCCTAATACCAGGAAATCCTTTTTTTTTTTTTTCAAAGAAATTCCAAAAGCATCACCCTGCTTATGAGCATTTACACTGTATATATATATATAAGATGATGGGCATATTATACTGAAGAGTAACTCCCCACTCAACAATTCGGCAACTTAGCAGGATAGCTTGAAACCATCATTCAATTTCCATGCTAGGCCATTTAAATGGCATCTTATTTTTTTTAAAACCCTAAAGACGCATTTTTCCATAACTTAGGAATTTGTTGTTCTCTGTGATTCTGTCAGACATTTCACTAGGTTCTGTAGAGTCCTTAAAAACAAGTGTCTTTAAAGACTGTATCTTACAATGTTAGAGAGGCAGCAAGAAAGCTTTAATAGACTCCAGAAGAAGGTTTTAACACTAATGTAGATTCAATAAGTTCCGAAGAAAAGGTGAGAAAAATAGGGAGCGGGGAGACAAAGAGAAGTAAAGTGAATGTGATTTTACTTAGAGACCTACAGTCTTCTTTTTGCAAAGTACATCTAGGAAGACTTCACTGATTAAGTGTATTTGAATGGGGAAATAATTGTAATGTGATTGTAATAACAACGGCAGCTTTTATTTCGGCCTACACAGACTGCAGTAAAATGTTCAGACAACACCTGTTTATAGGTAGTATTTTATTTTACCTACACAAATGATTGAAAAGAAATATAACTCTGCAACAGGGCAACCCTTACTCAATGCAATAAAATTGCCCTTTTTTTTAGGCCATCCATCATAGTGGGAAAGAGGCTTGCAGTTGGCCCTATGTGCAAAATCTCTTAGCATGTTTTGAACTTTCTGAAAGAAAGCTTGCTTCATTACCTGAATACTGAACTTCCTCTGAAATGAAAAGAACTCTGATTAAAATAGAAATGCTCCCTACATCTTTTACTGGTAAGTCACCTGATGTCATAGCATGTGAGGTCACTGAAATGAAACCAGGAGAAAATTGACTAACCGGTTCCCCTGATTGTGGGATTGAGGAAGCATATCAGCTTCCAGAATCAGGGCCACCAAGACAGAGCGGCCGATCCTAGATGAGAAAATACAGAGGCGGGAAGATAGCTAACCAGAGCCAAACAAAGTCGCACCTTGGCCTAGGCCTGTGGGTTGTCAAACAGCACCTCTCCTGACCTTCCACGGAGCAGGCTGGCCTTGCTCTGGCCTGGGAAGATCAACAGAGACAGCTGGCGTATGGCTGATGGCGTGCCAGTCTCTCATCTCGGTGGAACCCATATTACACTAGGCTTTATCCAAACACCTACTACTTACAATCTTTCTGAGGGGCAGATGAGAAATGTTCGTCCTGTCCAAGCCCACCTCTCCAGAGCCTGAACGCGGAACTGCTTTGTTACCTTTCAGTTGACTGTCATAACCGAGTTTCTGTTCCGTTCACTCTGGACTCTCAGAAGTGATCTTTTTGTTTTTATTTCTCTAGTAGTTGGAAGGGTTGTATCTCTGTTGATTTTGTCCAAAAAGATTCATTAATTGCAAACTTAACGTGACAAAATCTCTGGGTTAAAAGTATTCTTTCCCATGGCACGGAATTAAAATCTGCACAATTAGAATTAAACGATTCTGCCCAAAATATTTTTGTTAATATATGTTCATTCATACAAAAAGACCAATTGTGTTCCCAAAATTGAGAGAACTAAGCTACCCATCTGTATGTCATTTAGCACAAGAGAAGCAACTGCAGGTTTAAATTACACGGTATTGGGTTGCAATTTCCTAACATTGGATGCTTTTCTGCTTTTTTACCTTGAGTCATTTACTAAGGAGTGTTCATAAAAAGTAGCTTAAAGCACAGATGCTTGCAAATCGTTTAGGCAAAGATGTCTCTCTCTTTTTCATTCTCCCTCTCTCAAAAATCTCTTCTGAAGAAAGAGAATAAAATTGCTGGTCAGTTTTGACGAACCACATAAAGTATTTGTACAGAGAGAAAAGGTAAAATTGAAAACATCTGATTGAAGTAAATACGACAAACATAAAAGCTTTCCTAGTGAATGAAGGGTATTGAGGACACTTTATTTCATAGATTAGAAATTACTTTTGATCTAAACATTCTTAAAAACAGATTGTTTTTCCACCATGAACCATCTCATTAACTGTGCCACAGAGACCTCGTTTTCATGGCAAGCTTTGAAAGAGGGCTGTGCTCTTTTGTCAGACTCCGTCTTATCTGGGAGGGGGATAAAGATTTCAGTCCAGCTTTCTTTGTTTGTCTTTCAAGAACCACTAAAGCAGTATTCACACAAATTTTGTAGGAATGTGCCCTATGTCACAGCCTACAAATTATTTGGTTTTGGTGCACTTAAAGGTCATCTTCCAAATTAGCAAAATGTTCCTATATCCTGGCTTTTCAACCTTAAATATAAATATTGTTTCCTAACTGTAAGTGAAGTTTTTTTTTTTTTTCTTTAAGAAACACTAGTGCTTATTTGAAGTTGTCGAACTTTATACGTTTTTATTCTTTGGTCATACCATGTTCTCAAAATAATTAGGGTTTCAAAGTGTATCTAATAGCAAAAGGAAGTATATGCAGACTAGAAACAGTTATTGTGATTTTATATTAAACAACCCAATGAGCAGTTAGTCAGATTTTAATAAATTTCTTGCCACATAGTTTAATAATATACTTCCTGGACAATTGAAAGCTATACTATTACATTAGTTCTTCTAGCGTCATAACCCAAAACTGACATATATAAACACAGAAAGGCTTCCCTTTTGTCTCTGATTTCCTTTCTCCCTCTCAGACTCACTTTTCTAAAGTTATATGGTGCCACTGTTAATTTTGAAGAAATCATTTCATTTTGAAATCCTAGAATAATTCATTGGATGGTTTCCCTTCACTATCTTCACTTAGGAACTGTAATTTTCTTATTACACAGGGTAATTTAACATTAGTATTATATGACATCTGCTCAATGACCTCTAAATTGGCTTAGAAGTATGTTAGGGAAAGACTTTTCCCTGTATTTAAATGTTTACTAGAATGCTTCGAAGGCACAAGTGAGTGTGTGTGTGCATACACGCAACACAAAATATGTTTGGGGGAGTGATACTGCCACCTCAGTATCTCACTGTAACACCAGTCCCTACAGAGTAACTTCAGTATAGATAAGCTCCATCTTGAACCCCATCCAAGAGTATTTATTGACTGAAATATGCCTGAAGTCTCTTTTTATATTGGTGCTCGTTCCATTGAGGCTTGCTGCCTCAAAGCCAGTATTATCTTGAAGCTCCAATGGCAAGCTCTCGCTCTAAGTAGAAACAGACTTACAGCAAAAGTTCATGTTCTTGTTCTGCCTGCTTCCCAGTCATGTGATCTCAGGCAAGTCAGTCTCTCTGACCATGTGCTGACACCTTCACAGGTCTGCTCTAAGGACCACAGCAACGATCAAGTGATCTCAGCAAACACTGTCTGAATAAATGCAGTACCACATTATCATGCTGAAGCCACTAAATTCTGAAGTTAAAAATGTATTTTCAAAGGTAGCCACGTTAACTATTTCAGTGAGCTACAGTATTTTATTGGTAACCATTTTTCTATAATAATTCCCTTAGGACAGTATTTTTCTCATAAATTATCTTTTTAAATTATTAAAATAAGAATTAAAAGAAAACTAAAATTTGAGTATTTACTATGTACCAGGCACATTTGTAGGCATTTTTACATAACTATGTTTAATCCTCGCAATAATTCTAGGAGGCAGACATCATGCCCATTCTACAGATTCAGAAACTGAGGTTCAGAGAGGTTGTAAAATAACTAAGGACAAACAGTAAATAGATATATCAACTCAAACCCAGGGCTATCTGACCCTAAAGCCCATAGTCATTATATAGTCTGTGAGGACAAATTATGCTACTGTTTTCTTCTTTCTTCTTAAATTACGCTATAACTTTTAGCTCAAGAACTATTGCTAACAAGTTAAGATAATAAAGGAGAAGAGTAATAATCACCACAGTACATTCAGAAAAATAAATACATTTGTCTGCTGGCCAATGTCTGTTTTCCTGTGTTCATTCCCTCAGCAGAAGGTCAATGACAAGGTTCAAATGGGATTCTCACAAAGTCTATAAAACGTTGAAAGGCTTTTTAACTTCCTGTTAAGAAGTAAATCAGATCTGTTACCTAAGTCTTAGAACACTTTTAAGTCATAAATCTTACATTTCATTGTGAAAAATCAAAACAAAACAAGACCTAAAGACCCCATAACTTTAGTTTTGGTTCTGGGATCAGAAAAAAATGGAACTATTAAATATTTTCCCAAGATAAAAAATAAATAAAAGATGACAGACCATCTTGTTTTGCTTTGAGGTTAGTGGGTTTAAACAGTAGAAATCATGTTGAAATAGCTTGCTACTATATTTCAAAGTGGTATGCTTGAATTTTCATTACCACTTTGAATTTTCAGTTGGTTACTAGTCCATCACAGTGGAAAGCTGAACTCTATCCAGGTATGACGATGTTAGAAATTTCTAAATAAGTGGGCGTTTATAAAAGCCAAATCTAGTCCATTTTTAGAATAGCATGTGAAATGTATTCCATGAACCATTTTTTTCATATATGTTTGTTTGTTTTGCATTCCAGTAATTCAATAAAGACTTGGAAAAAAAAAATGCCAAGCATGAGGAAGAAAAGCTTTCATGCCTATAGAAGCATACCCAATTCTGATT